AGACACGGGGAGAGAGACACGGTGAGAGAGAGACACGGTGAGAGAGACACGGTGAGAGAGACACGGTGAGAGAGACACGGTGAGAGAGACACCGGGTACAGGATGAGAGCGGTGATCTGGAGCAACACTGGTGGGGAGAGGGGAGACACGGGGGGAGAGAGACACTGGGAGAGAGACAGTGAAAGAGACACGGTGTGAGACACTGGGAGAGAGACACGGTGAGAGAGAGAGACACTGGGAGAGAGACAGTGAGAGAGACACGGAGTGAGACACTGGGAGAGAGACACTGGGAGAGAGAGAGAGAGACACTGGGAGAGAGACAGTGAGAGACACGGAGAGACACGGTGAGAGAGAGAGAGAGACACTGGGAGAGAGACAGTGAGAGAGACACGGGGAGACACGCAGTGAGACACGGAGTGAGACACTGGGAGAGAGACACTGGGAGAGAGAGAGAGAGACACTGGGAGAGAGACAGTGAGAGACACGGGGAGACACGGTGAGAGAGAGAGAGAGAGACACTGGGAGAGAGACAGTGAGAGAGACACGGGGAGACACGGTGAGAGAGAGACACTGGGAGAGAGACAGTGAGAGAGACACGAGGAGACACGGAGTGAGACACGGAGAGAGAGAGACACTGGGAGAGATAGAGACACTGGGAGAGAGAGACACTGGGAGAGAGACACGGGGAGAGAGACAGTGAGAGAGACACGGGGAGACACTGGGAGAGAGACACTGGGAGAGAGACAGTGAGAGAGACACGGGGAGACACTGGGAGAGAGACACTGGGAGAGAGACAGTGAGAGAGACACGGGGAGACACCGGGAGAGAGACACGGGGAGAGAGACAGTGAGAGAGACACGGGGAGACACGGAATGAGATACGGGGAGAGATACACTGGGAGAGAGACACTGGGAGAGAGACACTGGGAGAGAGACACTGGGAGAGAGACAGTGAGTGAGACACGGGGAGTGAGACACTGGGAGAGAGTGAGACAGACACGGAGTGAGACACGGGGAGAGAGACAGTGAGAGAGACACGGGGATACACGGGGAGAGAGACACGGGGAGAGAGACAGTGAGAGAGACACGGAGTGAGACACTAAAGACACACACACACCCATTAAAGACACACACACACACACCCCTACTAAAGACACACACACACCCATTAAAGACACACACACACACACCCAATAAAGACACCCACACACCCCCACTAAAGACACATACACCCCCACTAAAGACACACACGCACAAATCCACTAAAGACACACACACACCCCCACTAAAGACACACACCCATTAAAGACACACACACACCCCCACTAAAGACACACACACACCCATTAAAGACACACACACACACACCCCCACTAAAGACACACACACCCCCACTAAAGACACACACACCCATTAAAGACACACACACACACCCCCACTAAAGACACACACGCACACACCCACTAAAGACACACACACACACCCCCCCACTAAAGACACACACACACCCATTAAAGACACACACACACATACCCCCACTAAAGACACACACACACACCCACTAAGGACACACACACACACCCACTAAAGACACACACACACACCCCCACTAAAGACACACACACCCCCACTAAAGACACACACACACCCCCACTAAAGACACACACACACATACCCCCACTAAAGACACACACACACACCCACTAAAGACACACACACCCACTAAAGACACACACACACTCACTAAAGATACACACACACACCCCCACTAAAGACACACACACACCCCCACTAAAGACACACACACACCCACTAAAGACACACACACACCCCCACTAAAAACACACACACACACTCCCACTAAAACACACACACATGTACACCCCCACTAAAAACACACACACACCCCACTAAAGACACACACACACCCCCACTAAAGACACACACACACACCCCCACTAAAGACACACACACACACACCCACTAAAGACACACACGTACACCCCCACTAAAAACACACACACACACCCCCACTAAAGACACACACGCACCCATGTAGGGTCTCGTGGGGAGGTCACCTGGTACCATGGGTTTTGAACTGAGGGGCCCCTAGCTGGAATGTCCCACGGTTTCCCAGTGCCAGGAGATTGGCCGACACCCCCCAGACCAAATTTGATTGCGGCCCCCGTGAATTGGCTTAAAATTTACACCATCAGAACCTCCTTTGCCAGTAGCAAAATATGATCATTGGTTTTTTACCCTTTTATCTGGCAACAAAACTGACACCTTTTTTTGGCGTCATCTGGTCCAATACCAACGTGAGACTGAGGGCTCTAAGGAAAGCGCCTTTTGGCGTCATCTGGTCCAACACCAACGTGAGACTAAGGGCTCTAAGGAAAGCGCCTTGTGGTGTCATCTGGTCCAACACCAACGTGAGACTGAGGGCTCTAAGGAAAGCGCTTTTTGGCGTCATCTGGTCCAACACCAACGTGAGACTGAGGGCTCTAAGGAAAGCGCCTTGTGGTGTCATCTGGTCCAACACCAACGTGAGACTGAGGGCTCTAAGGAAAGCGACTTGTGGCATCATCTGGTCCAACACCAACGTGAGACTGAGGGCTCTAAGGAAAGCGCCTTGTGGTGTCATCTGGTCCAACACCAGCGTGAGACTGAGGGCTCTAAGGAAAGTGACTTGTGGTGTCATCTGGTCCAACACCAACGTGAGACTGAGGGCTCTAAGGAAAGTGACTTGTGGTGTCATCTGGTCCAACACCAGCGTGAGACTGAGGGCTCTAAGGAAAGCGCCTTGTGGTGTCATCTGGTCCAACACCAGCGTGAGACTGAGGGCTCTAAGGAAAGCGCCTTGTGGTGTCATCTGGTCCAACACCAGCGTGAGACTGAGGGCTCTAAGGAAAGTGACTTGTGGTGTCATCTGGTCCAACACCAACGTGAGACTGAGGGCTCTAAGGAAAGCGCCTTTTGGCGTCATCTGGTCCAACACCAACGTGAGACTGAGGGCTCTAAGGAAAGCGCCTTGTGGTGTCATCTGGTCCAACACCAGCGTGAGACTGAGGGCTCTAAGGAAAGTTACTTGTGGTGTCATCTGGTCCGACACCAACGTGAGACTGAGGGCTCTAAGGAAAGTTACTTGTGGTGTCATCTGGTCCGACACCAACGTGAGACTGAGGTGTCATCTGGTCCAACACCAACGTGAGACTGAGGGCTCTAAGGAAAGCCGTCTCGGGTGTGGACCAATCAATTTCAAGGACAGTGCCGCGTACGTCATCAGAGTTACGTTTCCTGTTTGCATTCCGACCGCGGGCATTGTGCTCAGTGCAAAACACGGGCCCCTTGTAAAACAAAACAAAACAAAAACACGCGGAAAAAAAGGCCTCAGTTTTGTTGCCAGGTGAAACGGTGAAGAAAAAAAAAAACACACACACACACAAAAAAAGAGAGAGCCAATCATCACGGCTTAAAATTGCATGACGAAGCCCACCGGGCTGACCGCGATGAGGCGACACTCGTGGCCCTGGCCTCGGGGGCGATGTGACCTCGAGGGCGAAAACTCCGCGGCCCAGCGCGCGCGAGAGGAGGCGGGACGCAAAATCCGCTCGGGCCCGGAGAGAGCGCGCGGGGAGGGAGGGAGGGAGGGAGGGAGGGCTTTCCGGCACGGGCAACGGACCGACGATTGGCCGCCCAGGGCACGACGCCGCGTGGACCCGGATCTTTGGATTCCGAGGGCGCGAAAGGAAAGGGAGCGGACAAAACGGCCTCGCTGCGACTCGGCCCCCGGGCAGAGATCCTCTCGGGTGGGTGGGAGCGGGGGGCTCGGGGGGGGGCACACCCAGGGATCGAGCAGGGATAGGCTCGGCGCTGCTCGCCGAGAGTATTTGCTACGGGGCCGCGCGAGGTTTTCAACATAAGACGCGCCGCTGATAAACTTTCGGAGCGGAAGATCTGCGAGCGTGAGCGTGAGCTCGTGTGTGTGGGCGAACTTCGGCGTGGCGCCCGTGAGAGCGGCGAGCGTGGGGTTGGTGTGCGAGGGGCCGCGTCCATTGCCAACGGTACGGCCGTCATCGTTCACGCGGGCGCGTGTGAGCGGTAGGAAACAGCCCCGAGGGCGAGACGTGCGCCCGGGGTCCCGCCGCAGGTCAATCTCCTTCTTTTCGCTGAGCGTCGGCGTCGGCGGTGGCGGTGGTGGTGGTGGTGGTGGTGGTAGGGTAGGGTAGGGGCGCATATCCATACAGCCCTGTCCCAGCCGTCCCCATTACCGCTGGCATTGGCATCTACTTGCACAGCGGATTTAAGGCCGACAAGCAGGAGGAGGCCGGGGGGGGGGCGGGGGCGGGGGAGGGGCGCGTGCATATTCACGCGGCTATTTTTAGCGCCCACCTCCGCAATTAGCGGTGGTGGTGTACGTGGGGAGGGTGCGTGGGGTAACTCCGGGCGGTGGTAAGCCAGCCACTGAGCCGTGTCCCTCGGAGATGGGAAGTGGCCGAGGAGGAGTGGGGGAGGGAGTTGGAGGAGGTGGGCGTCAGCCCCCCCGCCCCCCGCCCCCCGCCCCCCCTGACAAGACACCGGGTGTGAGATGGGAGCGGCGACCTGCTCAATCTGAATTTTTCGATTTGAAGCTTTCGTGACTGCAAGGATTCATCTTCTTTGGTTCTTTCGGTAAAGTCACCACCACGTAGAATGAGAATAAAATAATACATTGATAAAATAAAATAACACAATAATATTCTCACGACGTTTCGGCCACAACACAAGCGGCCTTCATCAGGTGAAGGGGACGAGACTGTCACTCCAGCGCTGTCCTACCAGACAGTCTCGTCCCCTTCACCTGATGAAGGCCGCTTGTGTTGTGGCCGAAACGTCGTGAGAATATTATTGTGTTATTTTATTCTGCTCAATCTGCTTGACCGACGCCCCCGCTTGTTGGGAGAGGGTGGGGAGGGGCTGGCCGACTACCTGGGGCACCTTTGCCTGCGCCCCCGAGCTCACCGGCCACGCAGAGGATGCCGGCGATGACCTTGAGGAACTTGTGGGAGGACTTGCAGACGGACCACAGGCCCAGAGCCACGGCCACCAGAGTGAGGATGAGTCCCAGGAACATGAGGACGATTGTAGCCACCTTCCAGTCTGTCGGGGGTAGCGGGGGTGGGGGGGGGGGGGAGAGACACAGGGAGAGAGACACGGGGAGGGAGAGAGACACGGGGAGGGAGACACGGGGAGGGAGAGAGACACGGCAGTGAGGATGAGTCCCAGGAACATGAGGACGATTGTAGCCACCTTCCAGTCTGTCGGGGGTAGCGGGGGTGGGGGGGGAGAGACACGGGGAGGAAGACACGGGGAGGGAGAGAGACACGGCAGTGAGGATGAGTCCCAGAAACATGAGGACGGTGGTGGCCACCTTCCAGTCTGTCGGGGGTAGTGGGGGGAGGGAGACACGGGGAGGGAGAGAGACACGGGGAGGGAGAGAGACACGGGGAGGGAGAGAGACACGGGGAGGGAGACACGGGGAGGGAGACACGGGGAGAGAGACACGGGGAGGGAGACACGGGGAGGGAGAGAGACACGGGGAGGGAGAGAGACACGGGGAGGGAGAGAGACACGGGGAGGGAGAAACACACGGGGAGGGAGAGAGACACGGGGTTGAGAGAGACACGGAGAGGGAGACACGCGGAGGGAGACACGGGGTTGAGAGAGACACGGGGAGGGAGACACGGAGAGAGAGTCACACGGGGAGAGAGTCACACGGGGAGAGAGACACGCGGGGAGAGAGACACGCGGGGAGAGAGTCACACGGGGTTGAGAGAGACACGGAGAGAGAGACACGGGGACAGAGACACGGGGTTGAGTCCCAGGAACAAGATGGTGGCAATTTTGCAGTCTGTGGGGTGAGAAGAGAGAGAGACACAAAGACAAAGATCCCCCGTGTAGCCTTAACAGACTGTAGGGGCAAGTGCTGTTAGCGAGCACCTATGAAGGCCGGAACGGTACACGAGGGGGTGGGTGGCCAGCAGAACCACGCCCGACCGCCTTTGTCTCCCCAGTGGCGATGTTTACTACACACTGCACCAGGTACTCATTTGACGCTGAGTCAACCTCGGGGAGGCCCGGGACCAATTCAGATAATCGTCACTGGTGTTGGCCGTGAGCTGGAATCGAACCCGGGTCGCTGAGTTCGTAGCGCAGCGTAGCGCTAACCACTACACCCACCGCTCTCCACACACACATACTCTACACACACACACTCTACACACACACACAGACACTCTACACACACACAGACACTCTACACACACACACAAACACTATACACACACACACAGACACTCTACACACACACAGACACTTGTACACACACACACACAGACACTCTACACACACACACAGACACTCTACACACACACAGACACTCTACACACACACAGACACTTGTACACACACACAGACACTCTACACACACACACTCTACACACACACAAACACTTGTACACACACACACACAGACACTCTACACACACACACAGACACTCTACACATACACAGACACTCTACACATACACAGACACTTGTACACACACACACAGACACTCTACACACACACACAGACACTCTACACACACACAGACACTTGTACACACACACAGACACTCTACACACACACACAGACACTCTACACACACACACTCTACACACACACACTCTACACACACACACAGACACCCTACACACACACACATACTCTACACACAAACACTCTACACACACACAGACACTCTCCACACACACACTGGGCACTCTACACACACACAGACACTTGTACACACACACAACAACAACCGCCATTCGCCACTAAGTGGCGGTGACGTCACCACGATGCTTGTGCCAGGCTATGTGCACCTTGAGGCCACGTGAAGTGTCGAACGCCCGCTGGAAGGAGGTCACGGGGCAGACCCAGGTGCCACGGGTCGACTGACTGAGATGACTGGCTGATGCACCACCTGAGCCCCCTACTGTGCCAACCTGCTGTGCTTTAGCCACCTGGCGCTCCGCTCGTTGTTGTGAGCGTCGCTCCTCCGCCCTCCGTTGTTGTTGGAGGGCGACTGCCTCCAACTGCCCAGCAGCGTCCTTCACGAGCCTTCCACAGAGGCCGATCTTGACACCGCTGGTACCGGTCATCGGCAAGTCCACTCAGCTCCACATCCTCCTGTACCACATCACTCCATCTCTTCTCTAGCCCGTGCATGCCCAATTAGCCCCCTCGATCCGGCCAAATAAAAGGACATCCCTGTCGCAGCCTTGCCTGCCGGAGGAGCTCACCAATGGGACCCTGTCCAGATCTTTCAAGGATTTGTGAGCTCCTCACACAATCCAGTCTGGTTAAACCCAGGATGGATTGCAGGCAGGCCAGCCTAAATGTTTCTAACCGGCGAAGATGTTCCATTAGGGGGGTCCACGTTTTGCAAGCGTAGAGAAGGGAGAGACTAGGCTCTAAGAAAAGCCGTCTCGGGTGTGGACCAATCAAATTCAAGGACAGTGCCAATATTATTATCAGAGTTGTCTTTTTTGTTTGCATTTTGACTGCTTGTGTTGTGGTTATTGCAAACATGATCCCTTGAATAAAGGTGTCAGTTTTTGTGCCAGTTAAAAGGGTAAAAACCTATTACTATATCTTGTTACTAGCAAAGGAGGTCTCATAGTGTAAATGCCCACCCCGAGCCCTCAAGACTCTGATGGTGCGTTGTTTTTGAGTTGTACGCCTTTTGGCGTCTTCTGGTCCAACACCAGTGGAAACTAAAGGGCTCTAAGAAAAGCCGTCTCTGGTGTGGACCAATCAAATTCAAGGACAGTGCCAATATTATTATCAGAGTTGTCTCTTTTGTTTTCATTTTGACTGCTTGTGTTGTGGTTATTGCAAACATGACGCCTTGAATAAAGGTGTCAGTTTTTGTGCCAGTTAAAAGGGTAAAAACCTATTCCTATAGTGGTAAATTGTTTGAAGGTGGAGGGGTTTACCAGCCCCTCGCACCCGACCAGAGCACCCATTTAGCCGCTGTGGCGGCTATAAACGTCTACCGAAATTGGCCCTCCACCCATGGCACTTCTCACCACAGCTTCACCATGCGGCTCTAACAGGCTGTAGGGGCAAGTGCTGTTAGCGAGCACCTATGAAGGCCGGCACGGCACACGAGGGGGTGGGTGGCCAGCAGAACCACGCCCGACCGCCTTTGTCTCCCCAGTGGCGATGTTTACTACACACCGCACCAGGTACTCCTTTGAGGCTGAGTCGACCTAGGGGAGGCCCAGGACCGGTTCAGATAATCGCAAATGGTGTTGGCCGTGAGCGGGAATCGAACTCGGGTCGCCGAATTCTTATTGCAGCGTAGCGCTGACCACTACACTACCGCTCCCCACACACACACAGACATACAGACACGTACTCTACACACACACAGACACACACACACACAGACACACACACACACAGACACACTCACACACACACATACAGACACACACATACAGAGACACACACACATACAGACACACTCACAGACACACACACAGACACACACTCTAGACACACACGGACACACACACACACATACAGACACACACATACAGACACACTCAGAGACACACACACACATACAGACACACTCACAGACGCACACACACATACAGACACACTCACAGACACACACACATACAGACACACTCACAGACGCACACACACATACAGACACACTCACAGACACACACACACCCTCCCACGCTCGCCCCGAGCACTGGAACTCAACCACCAACCCCAGAGTGGAATGTGAGGCGCTATTCATAGCCATTGCGTCTGTGGGTCTCTGTGTGGTGAGTCTATGGGTCTCTGTGTGGTGAGTCTGTGGGTCTCTGTGTGATGAGTCTGTGGGTCTCTGTGTGAGGAGTCTATGGGTATCTGTGTGATGAGTCTGTGGGTCTCTGTGTGGTGAGTCTATGGGTCTCTGTGTGATGAGTCTGTGGGTCTCTGTGTGATGAGTATATGGGTCTCTGTGTGATGAGTCTATGCATCTGTGTGTGATGAGTCGATGGGTCTCTGTGTGGTGAGTCTATGGGTCTCTGTGTGGTGAGTCTATGGGTCTCTGTGTGGTGAGTCTATGGGTCTCTGTGTGGCGAGTCTGTGGGTCTCTCTGTGGTGAGTTTGTGGGTCTCTGTGTGGTGAGTCTGTGCGTCTCTGTATGGTGAGTCTGTGGGTCTCTGTGTGGTGAGTCTGTGGGTCTCTGTGTGGTGAGTCTGTGGGTCTCTGTGTGGTGAGTCTATGGGTCTCTATGTGGTGAGTCTGTGGGTTTCTGTGTGGTGAGTCTGTGGGTTTCTGTGTGGTGAGTCTGTGGGTCTCTGTGTGGTGAGTCTGTGGGTCTCTATGAGTGAGTCTATGGGTCTCTGTGTGGTGAGTCTGTGGGTCTCTGTGTGGTGAGTCTATGGGTCTCTGTGTAGTGAATCTGTGGGTCTCTGTGTGATGAGTCTGTGGGTCTCTGTGTGGTGAGTCTGTGGGTCTCTGTGTGGTGAGTCTGTGGGTCTCTATGAGTGAGTCTGTGGGTCTCGGTGTGATGAGCCTGTGGGTCTCTATGAGTGAGTCTGTGGGTCTCTATGAGTGAGTCTGTGGGTCTCGGTGTGATGAGCCTGTGGGTCTCTATGAGTGAGTCTGTGGGTCTCTATGAGTGAGTCTGTGGGTCTCTGTGTGGTGAGTCTGTGGGTCTCTATGAGTGAGTCTGTGGATCTCTATGAGTGAGTATGTGGGTCTCTGTGTGATGAGTCTGTGGGTCTCTATGAGTGAGTCTGTGGGTCTCTGTGTGGCGAGTCTATGGGTCTCTGTAAGTTGAGTCTGTGGGTCTCTGTGTGGCGAGTCTATGGGTCTCTGTGTAGTGAATCTGTGGGTCTCTGTGTGATGAGTCTGTGGGTCTCTGTGTGGTGAGTCTGTGGGTCTCTGTGTGGTGAGTCTGTGGGTCTCTATGAGTGAGTCTGTGGGTCTCTATGAGTGAGTCTGTGGGTCTCTGTGTGGTGAGTCTGCGTGTCTCTGTGTGGTGAGTCTATGGGTCTCTATGAGTGAGTCTGTGGGTCTCTGTATGGTGAGTCTGTGTGTC